ATAACCCCAGCACAGGGCAATGGGAGCGACACAAGCAGCCAAGGTACACAAGCGGCAGCGCCGCGCGGCCCGTATATGGCTCTGTGTGCGCCATGACATGTTTCAGCCAGGAATGTGTTTCGGGTTCTTATTTATAAACACGCCGGAGATTTCTCAACTCGCATTAGAAGCCGGGAACTGGCAGCCAAAACAAGAGCGCCGCCAAGAAAAGCCTGTCTGACCTGAGAGCGATAAGGGGCCCGGGGCCAAACATACCTTCCCCTCTCCCTCTCACTACCCACATGGCTGGGAACGGGGCCAAGCGGAGGCCGAGGGGTTAACAGATCCGCATTGGACGGGGGAATCCGGTGTTCTGTATCATGTTCACACCTGTTCATGGCGTGCGATGTGCGTCCCATTCACCCGCCTGATGGACTATGCCGTAACCCCCAGACGTCCTCTGATGTAAGGGGCCACCGTGTCCCCCAGACAGGACCGATGACTCCTCGCTGGATAAAGATTTAGAGGAAATCCATCTTTCTGCACATGTGGAAAACCGCAACGTATACTGCACGTTCTGCTCGCCGTTCCCTTAAAGGGACACTACGCCGTCTACTGAGAGTCTATTCAGACTAGTGATGGGCTCGATGTCCGAGTTGAGCAAGAGTTCAACTAGAACCGCGTCAGTTCATGTGTTCGGTGAAGCCGAGCGCCCCACAAGGCACTGTTGCACCGCACAGAGTCTTGTGAGCCCTGATTGGCTAAAGCTTTACACCCCCCCCCCCTTTCCTGCTTGGATCAAGGGTATGGTATGGAATTACAGGGGATCCCCAGGGGGTTTCTCCTTAAAATTCCTACTAGACCTTAAAGGAGAACTATGGTGGTCAGTGTTTTTCCCCATAGCGTCCCAGGAGAACACAAACTAGCGTCCTCCCGTCACCCTAGGCTCAGTATATAGGGAGCTACAGCTCGCGGTATACGGAGACGCCGCAGCCGGAGCGGATCCCGACAATTGTGCCGGGATCAGCCCAGCTGCGTGACTGACAGCTGGCTCTGCCTATCTAGAGCTGTACCCTCCCCCGTCCGTTCCGCCAGTCAGCGCTGGAGGATCGGAGCGGGGAGGGGGGAATCCAGCCCCTCCCCCTGTCACGGCAGAGAGCGTGACAGGATCGAGAAGTGAGCGAACGCCGGTGTGTGTTCTCTCACCTCCCGATCTACTGAGCCGACCTGTTACCCAGGGTAGCCTCCCTTACCAGGGGCCACACCATTTACCTGGAGCCACTTCCCTCACTTGGGACCACCTCCCAAGTTCCACATTCTCACATTCCAACTTCCCCATCTAGGGCCAATCCCCTTGCCTGGGGCCACCACCTCAACTAGGGTCACTCTCTTTATTTCTGACCCCCCTCACACACACACACACCTATGGTTACCATCCTCACCTAAGGCCTCAACTTTTACCTAGGTCCACTCCCATCACTTAAGGTCACCCTCTTATCTAGGGTCACCTTTCTCACCTAGAGGGCCACAACCCTGCACTAGAGCTACCACCTTTACTTAGGGTAATCTCCATTACCAGGGGCCACACCATGTACCTGGAGCAAATTCAGTCACCTGAGGCCACTCCCTTCACTTTGAACCCCCTCCTACACACACCTATTGTCACCTTGCGCACTTAGGGCAACAGCCCTCACCTATGACCACCACCCTCATCTAATGTCACATCTCATATCCAGGGCTACTTTCCATACCTAGGGTCACAACTCTCACCTACAACCACCCGCTTACTTAGGGCCACCTTAATCATCTATAGCCCAATCCCGTACATAGGTCCATATCCATCATCTAAGGCCACCTACCTCATCTAGGGCCACTGTTCTTACCTGGGGCCACCTCCATCACCTAGGACCACTTTCCCCTTTTACCTAGGGCTACCTCCCTCACTTAGGTTCATCTCCCTTATCTAGGGCCACATCCCTCACCTAAAGTTATCTCCCTCACCTATGGCCACCCAACTCACCTAGGCCCACCTCCCTCACCAGGGGTCACCTCTTGCACCTTTAGCAGCGGTTCTCAACCTGGGGGTCGCCACCCCGTCAGGGGCTGACTGACGATTTGCCAGGGGTCACAGTCATCGGGCCGCAGTCAGTCAGAATAAAAAAAAAATCACCAGAGGAATGCATAGCTAGATTCCTATTGGCAATTTCACTTTGCAATAGCCAATAGCAAACTAGCTATTGCGCCCCCGCCCTCTGCTGCTGTCAATCAGCAGAGGGGGACCTGCAGTTCTCCATCAGGTCCCCTTCTAGTGATTGACAGCAGCAGAGGGCGGGTTTAGAACCACTGACCTAGAGCCACCTCCCTCACCTATGGCCACCCAACCCACCTAGACCCACATCCCTCCCCTAGGGTCACCTCACACCTAAAGCCACCTCCCTCCCCTAGAGCCACCTCCTTCGTCTAGAGCCACCTCCCTCACCTAGAGGCACCTCCCTCACCCAGGGACCCGTCCCCCACCTAAGCCCACCTCCCTTGCCTACAGCCACCTCCCTCACTTAAAGCCACGTCCCTCACCTAAGGTCACACCCCTTACCCAGGGCCACCTCCCTCACACAGGGCCACCTTCCTCACCCAGGGCCACCTCCCTCACCCAGGGCCACCTCCCTCACCTAGGGTCACCTCCCTCACCTAGGGTCACCTCCCTCACCCAGGGTCACCTCCCTCACCTAGGGTCACCTCCCTCACACAGGGTCACCTCCCTCACCTAGGGTCACCTCCCTCACACAGGGTCACCTCCCTCACCCAGGGCCACCTCCCTCACCTAGGGTCACCTCCCTCACCCTCACCTAGGGCCCCCCCCCTCACACAGGGCCACCTCCCTCACCCCGGGCCACCTCCCTCACCTAGGGTCACCTCCCTCACACAGGGCCACCTCCCTCACCTAGGGCCACCTCCCTCCCCTAGGGCCACCTCTATCCCCTAGGGTCACCTCCCTCACCCAGGGCCACCTCCCTCACCCAGGGCCACCTCCCTCACCTAGGGTCACCTCCCTCACCCAGGGCCACCTCCCTCACCCAGGGTCACCTCCCTCACCTAGGGTCACCTCCCTCACACAGGGTCACCTCCCTCACCCAGGGCCACCTCCCTCACCCAGGGCCACCTCCCTCACCTAGGGTCACCTCCCTCACACAGGGCCACCTCCCTCACCTAGGGTCACCTCCCTCACCTAGGGTCACCTCCCTCACCTAGGGTCACCTCCCTCACACAGGGTCACCTCCCTCACCCAGGGCCACCTCCCTCACCCAGGGCCACCTCCCTCACCTAGGGTCACCTCCCTCACACAGGGCCACCTCCCTCACCTAGGGTCACCTCCCTCACCTAGGGTCACCTCCCTCACCTAGGGTCACCTCCCTCACACAGGGTCACCTCCCTCACCCAGGGCCACCTCCCTCACCCAGGGCCACCTCCCTCACCTAGGGTCACCTCCCTCACACAGGGCCACCTCCCTCACCTAGGGTCACCTCCCTCACCTAGGGTCACCTCCCTCACCTAGGGTCACCTCCCTCACACAGGGTCACCTCCCTCACCCAGGGCCACCTCCCTCACCCAGGGCCACCTCCCTCACCTAGGGTCACCTCCCTCACACAGGGCCACCTCCCTCACCTAGAGTCACCTCCCTCACCTAGGGTCACCTCCCTCACCTAGGGTCACCTCCCTCACACAGGGTCACCTCCCTCACCCAGGGCCACCTCCCTCACCCAGGGCCACCTCCCTCACCTAGGGTCACCTCCCTCACACAGGGCCACCTCCCTCACCTAGGGTCACCTCCCTCACCTAGGGTCACCTCCCTCACCTAGGGTCACCTCCCTCACACAGGGTCACCTCCCTCACCCAGGGCCACCTCCCTCACCTAGGGTCACCTCCCTCACCTTGGCACTTCATATTTTCATGAAATCAATGTTCTGCATTCTATGAGACCGCCATGAAAAGAGAAAAAAAAGACCCAAACTTCAACTGCACTAAAAAAAATCCAACATCCTCCTGCGTTCCCATCCCTTCCTCTTCTGACCAATACAAAACAGTTCAAAGTGATTCTACAAAACGGCCCCAACACACGATCCCATTTCCTGAGATCCGGAATACCGGGAATCTCCCTGATCTGTACCAATAGAGACGTTCCCAACAGATCCACTGACATCAAGCCGGCTCCGGCACTGCGGGGGTTAATCACCACCTGATTAGCAGAGGTCTCATTAACCCAATCATTAGTGCTGAGTCTCCGCGCAGCAATCCTCCCACATTTCTGGTGTGGCCTGGGTAGAGTGCAAGCTCACAAGACGAGGCAAGACACTATACAGCGATCCCTCTACATTGTCAGGCGCGGCCCGGGGACAGAGTGCTAGCTCACCAGACAAGAAAAGCTTCTGCAGATTATATTTTCCCCGCCGTCGGGTTCCACCATGGAAAAGCAATCCTCGGACAAGCTGATCTGTATTAAGGCCGGATTCTTCTTCGTCATCCTGTTCTTCTGGGTGAGTCCATTTCTCTTCTTGTGATGTGTTTTACCTGCTGAGGGTGAACGGCGCCACTGCAATGTACAATACCCTGCGTATTGCGCAATGGTGTGCCGCCGTGCCATGCATTCCTAATGGCACCCGACGCACCGTGCCAACAGGTGTCCATTAGGCCTTGTAACATGCTAGCATGCGTTGTGCTGCACCGTTTTGGTTATAATTGGGCTGCCCTCGCCCGACACAGGATAAAGTGCGGCATCCAAACGCCATAACAGTGTGAAACCCGTCCGATAAGACAGCGGTCGCCAACAGATGGTCCGTGGGAAAATGTTGGTGGTCCGCAGAAAAATCTGCAATAGATTAAGCTGTATGAGGCTAAATGATGAATTTAGCGGTCCGTGAGGAACGAAAGCTTGGCGACCGCTGCAATAAGTATGAGACAAAAATCTCACAGCGGACCTCACGACACGTTTTATATTGTTACGCTTTGTTTCAGAGTGTCAGATTCTATGTTACATTGTATCAAGGGAAGTGTGACGTGAAAGTAGCTTATGTCAGGTGTACTGGCCCTTTAAGGGAAGGCATAGCCTATTCAGTATGTTGTTTAATATACAGTATAAGATCAATGATCCCCCCTTCCTCCCCATGTGTTTTGTATGTCTAAATTGTAATTCTATATGTTCCTGGGGGCAGACATATTTAAAGGAGAACTATGACATGAGTGATTTTCACTCACCTCATAGTTCTAGCCGACCTGTAACAATGAGACTGTCACAGGTCGGCTCAGTAGATCGGGAGGTGAGAACACACACCGGCGTTCGCTCACCTCTCGATCCTGTCACGGCTCTCTGCCCTGACGGGGGGGCTGGATTCCCCTCTTCCCGCTCCGATCTGCCAGCGCTGACTGGCGGAACGGACGGGGGAGGGGGCGGGTACAGCTGGCTCTGCCTCTAGATAGGCAGAGCCAGCTGTCACTCACGCAGCTGGGCGGATCCCGTCATCTAAGTCGAGATCCACTCTAGCTGCGGCGCCTCAGTATACCGCGAGCTGTAGCTCCCTATATACTGAGCCTAGGGTGATGGGAGGACGCTAGTTTGTGTCCTCCCGCCACCCTGAGGAGAACTATGGGGAAAACACTGACCCCATAGTTCTCCTTTAATCATTACACATGCAACCTGCTAAGCAGTGCTGATTAGGGCTTGCTCACACCAAATGCAGACCAGATCTGCATGAGTTTCTGCACACGCAGTGCAGTGGGTTGTGCCGCGTTTCGGGACGTTTTTGGTTTAAAATGGGCTTTCAGTGCGTTTGCATGCGTTCCAGAGCAGGTAAAATAGGGCTGCAGTTTTTTTACATGCTCCGGAACTGAACGCTGCGGTGTGAACTAGAACCCAAAATACCATTTGGAATACATTGGACGCAGTTTTGATCCGGTCTGTAGCTGCTCTGCTCCGCTCTTGGTGTGAACAAGGCCTCGGTGGATGTGCTTTACTCCTCCATCTCGCAATGGAAGTCTATAGGTTGACGGACTCGGTGAAAGCAATGCCCTCCCCATGGGGCTGTAAATAAAGAGAGGGTGTAATTCCACTGAGCCAGGTATGGTCTCATAGGATTATATGTATTGTCTGCATGTTGCTTGCCTGTAAAGGAATCCCTTGTATAGACATCCAAAAGCTCTGAGCCTGCTGCTGGGTGCCGCCATCTTGGATGAGTCCCTCTCCTGGCTCCTCCAGGCCTCTGATAGGGAGAGTGCCCTGATCTCTTGTCATACGTTTTGTGTCCCCTGGCAGGCGAGCGGCGTCGCCTTGATTTGTCTGGGCGCCACGGTACAGATGAAGCTGTCGGACGTCTCTGTGGTCATCGCCGAGACCTCCTCCGGAGCCCCTCTGGCCCTAACCATTTTGGGAATGGTCATCTTCTTCCTGTCTGGATTTGGTGCCGTGGCCGTGATCAAAGAAAACAGCCTCTTGATAAAAATCGTACGTAACGCCCCTAAAATATCACTTGGCCGCCATGTTGAAGGAAATGTGTGGGGAGGCCTTTGATCTGCTAAGAAACTACAAAGGGCGTCACCTCTGCTATTCACAACGCAACAGAGCCCTGACCTCAACCCCTGGGGAATAATTTAAATGCCTAGACAGGTTTTGTTTTTGGTGCCCCGTTGTGTGAAGTCTTCTTATCCAACATCAGAACCTGACCTCCCCAAATGGGACAAATGCCCACAGACACCCCCCCAAAAATCTTGTGGCAAGCCTTCCCAGACGAGTAGAGGATGTCATAGCCACAAAGTGTGTGTGTGGGGGGAGCACAAACTCCATAATAATGACTATGGGGAGGCAATGCCATATTGCTGGCCAGGGGAGTGGGGCAAAGCCATATTTGATGGCCATGGAAGTGGGGCAATGCCATATTGATGGCCATGGGAGTGGGGCAATGCCTTATTGATGGCCATGGGAGTGGGGCAATGCCATATTTGATGGCCATGGAAGTGGGGCAATGCCATATTGATGGCCATGGGAGTGGGGCAATGCCATATTGATGGGAGTGGGGCAATGCCATATTGATGGCCAGGGGAGTGGGGCAATGCCATATTGATGGCCGGGGGGGAGGAGCAATGCCATATTGATGGCCATGGTTTGAGATCTCCAACTTCAGAAGCCGAAAGGCCACAGTCTGCCCAAACCCAATATCCCACTTTTTGGCTTCTTGGGTAGAGTAGACCACTGCAAAAATATTTCATTTATTGTAGTCGCGATAGGAAATAAAATGCGGATTCCGGTTGCCGTGGGTTACTCTCCTCTGTACTCCGCTCCAGTGACGTGACTTCTGCTCTCTCAGTTCACAGGGGTCATGCTGCTGGTGTTCGCCATAGAGATCATAGTGGGGATATCGGCGTATTCCTACAGGGACATGGTAAGTGACG